GCACCGACTCGCTGAACTGGTACTTTGCATTGTCAACCTTGCAGAAAACATAGAAAAGTGTTGACATGCAACTCTGTCAGAGCGCAGTTCATCTAAACTCCCTGTTGGGTTAAGACTTTGGTTCCTGGTATGAGTTTCTCTACTGAGAGCCCTACATGAGGCTGTCATGCTGGGCCGCTTATCTCCGCTCGACGATTGCTTCATTCACAACCCTCCTTCCTAATGGAGTACCTTTTTTGAGTGCTTGAACCAAGTAAGATTATCCTCTTTCTAGAAAACACTCAAGGAGGATGAAATCTTTACTACTTATTAGGCCTTGGAACAACAGATCCTTTGACAGGTACAGAACAAACCCGTTCCCCTGAAGAGCATATTCAAAGGATCCTGAGCATGGACCCAATACCCCCAATACCCTGGAGACGGGCTTTCACCTCCTGATGATTTCACGAGAAGACTGTGGAGGGTCTTAGCCACGCAAGCTCCCATGCAAACTCCAAAACAACCTCGTTGTGGCGGCCTGTAGGTAGAAGCGTCCTAGCGGAACATGCCCATCGCCATCCGCATCTGCCTGCGCATGGCAAGGATGTCTTAAAGGCTCATGCAACCAGAGTCTGAGAGTGAAAGTAAACTAAGAGGAATGGATCGGAGATGCTGCTGCAAGGAAAGTGAATCGAATGATGTCATCAGTTACCCAGGCCAGGAATGCACTCTTCCATGCGGTTCATACAGTGAGCCCGTTTTGATGGCGTAGAGCCGTGAGGCAACGGCAGCCAGGATGGGCGGTGTCTTAAAACAGTACTTGTGTAATCACTACAGCAAACCCTAGAATCTCCTCATCATTCCCACTCATGCTATCCCTAGGCGTTAAGCGCTCCTGTTTGCGTTTGAGAAATCACCATTTGAGCGCTATGAGGCTTTGTGGTGGTTCCGGCAAGAGACTGACTACCCTTCCCCAAACTAACAAACATTCACCCCAAGGGGCCTGACGAAGACTTTAGGAATGGTGACAATAAGGGATGATAAGGACTATACTAGGGTCCTATTATTATATTCCTATTATACCACTATTACAGGGAGGGGGGTCCTCCTAACGAAGACTAGTGTCCTGCGGAAAGGGTGCCATGCTAGCTTTGGGCTGACATGCGATGCTTGACTATCTGGCCATGGCAACTCCCTCCCAAACTCTTCACCACCCCTTTCCAATACTTTCCATGTCAGTTTGGGGGACTGTAAATTTGTTCACTGCCCCTATCAGGATTTGGTATACTCAACAAAAAACAACAACAAGAATATCGCCAACAATGACCCAGGAAAGCCACTTGACCCACAAGACCAATTCCCCCCCCCCCACCCGCATCACTCAGTGAAAGGTCTCGGCACGCCACGACTTAGCTTGTCCTCATCACCGTAAATCCCCAATGCTTGAAACGAGAAACCTTCTTCTGGGCATGCCGGATATGGCAAAAAAAATAGATGCTTCCAAATCCAACCAGTGAATCAGAACCCCTGGAATCCCTTTAGGGTCTAGGGTTTAGGGTATAACCGGTTAGGCTTAGGATTTAGGGTTAGGATGGTATGACAAAATCACTAGACCCAAGCCTGCCACCTGATTGAAACCATAGATAGTCCCTGCAAAGCCTCATGTAGCAGTGACTCGTTTAGCGGCGCCGCTCTTTTTAGAAGCCCTAACCTAAACCCCTAAACCTCTGCAGCTTAAACTCTTTCAAAAAAGCTGGCCTCAATCAGCTCTGCTTTCATCTCCTGGCACTCGCGGTTCTGCCACCTGGGCCCATGATTTGGTTTGGGGTTCAGGGTTTAGGATTTGGGGTTTAGGGTGTAGAAGGGTTTAGGATTTGGTTTAGGGACGCTCCCAAAATATCTTTAGCTGTGGGTTTTCAAAAATAATTAGAAAACATGGTAGACCGCACTTGAAGGTTTGAGAGAATTCTAGCTTGGGATTGTGTACTGCCCTCACCCTTAGCAGTCAGAAAAACCGACCCATATAAGGGTAACATGTCACCACGACTACAACGCTGACAGACGGCTATCTTACTCGTGGTTACTAGAAGATGAGGCAACGCAATGCCTAAATATTCCCTCACTCCCTACTGACCCCTTGCGTGCGGCTTAAGGTTGGGCACTTCCCAAAACCATAATCTCCTTATGCCATGTCATGAGAAAATGCACACTCGACTTACTGGGGATTAGTAGGGAATGCGGGAATATGTTATGTAGTGATCATATTCCCCTAAACCCCAAACCCTGAGGATTATGCTCCCTTCTTCCGTGCAGAGCACCCGTGAGTAGAAGGACCTCAAAAGAAATCCAAACTCCAAAATGTGGGTTCCTGTTTTCGAGCTCTGCGGTAGAAGAGCTGGTTCAATCTGTCCGACTATGAAGCGCGTCAACACTGCGAATATCAGCATGTTCAGCAGAGGATGGAATAGCAATAATACGACGGAGTTGCATGCCCCCCGTTCCTAAGTGCCTCCTTCTTTCACGTGTGTTTTCTTGTTCCGTCAGACCCAAACAAATCTCTAAATCCCAAATCTTAAGCCCCAACCCCTAAGCTCTTACTCCGGACAGCCCCAAGCCTTAAATGCACTCTACTGGGTTGCTGTTAAGGAACTTAAATTAAGTTACCATAATGGGTATATATAGTAAATAATAGGGTTTCCCCGATATAGTAACTTAATTTAAATTCCTTTACAGCAACCCAGTCTAGCCACCTGCCGTAGCCATGGGCCATCTCTTCAACCATGCTCGCAAGGTCCTTTTTCAATCAGCAGGAGAAGATGTTCAAGGTTCAGGTTTGAGGGGCGTACCCAATGCTGATATGCGAAATTTCGCATGACAGAATTTAAAAAAAAAATGGAATGGTACTAATCATACTACTCATCATGCTACTGGTGATAAAATGCAAACAACATGAGCCCCTTAAACCCTACACCCCAGGTGCTGATTGATCCCGTCCTCCAGAGTGACACCTCTGCCACCCCTGAGAAAAATCTTGCAAACGAAATACCCTGTTTTTCTATGTAGGATCATACGGAATCCTAACCGCGTATTGAATTTTTGCTGCAGGGACTGTTGTCTGGGTAGGGTACTTCAGGAAGTTCCATATTAGCTTGGGAGGGTGGGTGTCAGGTCTCAGTATTATTCGGAGAGGTCATTCGTAGAAACGTCGGGCAGTGCTTGTGGCATTTAACTGGACCACGGGTAGTTTTTAGGATTTAGGGTTAGGACTTAAACAGGCTTAAGGTTTAGGGTCCAACACACTGGCAACATTTGGCAAATTCCTAAATCAGTAATTGCCGCCTGGAGCAGCAAGAGCCATAGAGAGCTGCAGTTGTAGGTTACTTGGAGGGCCAAGGGGACGTAGTAACTTGGTTAATCATGGCGATAACTAAGATTACCATATGATTTATAGGGGCTACTTATCTACTTACAAAGTCCCCCTGACCCACCAAGTAATCGCGCCCACTACTACCAAGCCTGCCCGCCATGTACTAGTGAAAACTCATCTCCTCTACTACATGAAGTCCATTACAGGGAATATGTATGGGGGGGGGGGGTGCTTTTTCCTTGTCCGCGATGACTCTTTGAAACAACAGCCATTGTTGAGCACCCCTAAACCCGAAACCCTAAATCACTCAACAAAAGCAGCCAGCCAGCCCAGCAAACTCAAACCCTGCAAACTTCAGAGTACCAGGCTCTACCTGGACCCTGTATCTCCTTCCTTTTAGGGGTTCTGTCCTGCAAGAAAAAGGTCGAGCATCCAGGGTTCAGGTAGGATTCAGGCTGCCTCCTAAACCCAAAACCCCAAACCCAATACCACAAGCACCAAGGTCCTGGAAGGAGTACTCAGGTTCCATGAATGGATTGGAGGTGTGAGCCCGGGCAAACTCGAAATTCATGACCTGCGTGGGACTTTAGGGGCTCCCAAAACCGTCCTTTAATCGGTCTCTTATAAACCAGTAATGGAACTTGATAATTCAGCTACCCCGGAAAAGATCCGCTTATAAACCAATGAAGAAAATGTACAAGAATCCTAAACATGGAGCCCAAGAAAGGAAGTCAATTTACCCATGAAAATGTCGTCTCATAAATAAAGCAATGACGAAAATTACGCAGAAAAAACTCTGATGTGCTAGCCAGTGACGGTGTCGCTCTCGAAGTCCACCAGCTCGGGCCAATCCTCCGGTTAGGCGGCTTCTTGGCATAGGAGCTTCTGAAAATGTGGGCCCCTAGGGACCCCTAGCCCTAGAGATACATTTGGTCATGCCCTTGCTGGCCCTTGCCCCTCACCTGTGGGTGGCCAGTGGCCCTCCCTTCCACCCCTTCCCAGACCATACCATTGGGTGGGGGGCCAGGAACGCCAGACGCCAAACACATCTAGGGGTTGTGTAGGGTTTATAGGGGTCCCTTTCAGGATCATATGTGGGCTTAAAGGAGAAACTCCCAAGGAGGGATACCTTGAAAGACTACATGGGGAGGGTTTGAACAGTACCTGCGCCTTGCCTACTTGTAGGTGATCCTACTACAAGAATCCTTCCCCAAAGAACCCTAAACCCTAAACCAATATTTGAAGGGCCCAGGCCGGGTTTAAACCGCCGTCCTCCCGTTGAGACAGCCGGCTCTTCAAAGCTTGGTGGAGCCGCGCGTCGGTTAGGTTTGCCTTGCTACCCAGCTGGAAGAGGAGCCTGTGATGCTTGGGATGGTGATTTGGGGGGCTTCCCAAAATTAAGGATACCCCTTTGAGGTCCCCATAATAAGGATTATAGTATTCTGTATTGGGGTTGCCTTATTTAGGGAAACTACCATTTGTGCAGAAACAACAGAAAACCATCAGGGGCAAAACTTGAAATGCTTGAAGAGGAGCAGGTAGGAGGTAAGCACGTCGTGGGCGGAGCGCTGGGCGATGGCGTCGGAGGTGCTGAAGCCGTTGAAGGTGTAGGAGGCCTGCAAGAGCGCGAGGGACTCGTCGAAGATCAAGCGCTCCAGGGCTCCGATCATGGCCACCACGTCGTTGAGGGCGAGGCCATGGTTGGAGCGCCGGGCTTCCAGCAAGGACTCGACCAATGCGGGCGCCTTGTCTTGCAAGATGCTGACCTCATGGACCTCGGAGACCTCCGCCTGGTTGGCGTGTGGGTCCAGGCCTTGGATCAGCCAGCCGTGCTCCTTCATGAAGTAGCTGTGCACCAGGTAGCGCACGGCGCGGGGCGCCAGGCGGCCCACGTCGTTCTTGGGCAGTGCCTGGAAGGTCTGCCACACGCGCGCCTCGATGCGGGCGCTGCGCTTGCCGCCGTCCAAGCTTAGCACGGCCTCAAGGGCCTCCTGCAAGCTGGACTGGATCTCCTCCAACGCCACTGCGCGGGCCTCACGGGCCTCGCGGCCGCCGCGGAAGCTGCCGGGGGAAGCCACGGCGCCGGCCAGCAGGGCCAGGCCAGCAACGATGACGGTCTTGCCAGACATCTCGAAGAACGTAGGGTTGCGACTGTAGAACTTACACGGTCACAGAATGACCGCGACAGGGAGGCCTGCTAGGGAGTGTCACTTGAGCAAGGCTGGCAACACCAACATAACTTGCGCCGTCAACCATATGCATCAGAGACGGCGATGCAAGCAATCTGTTGACTCAATAGCTGGCACAACGACGCTTATGCACCCCTTCAACCTTACATCCCTTACCTAAACTACAAGCTGAAAGGGGAAACGCTTCAGCGAACCCAAGGCTGCCTCATCAGGAGGAGTGGGCAACTTCTGACAGGAGCCTCTGATGAACACATACACACACACACTGAGAGGTTTAGGCAATGGCACAGAACTGTTCTTTTTCCATTCTGACTGTAAGCTCATTCGGCAGGAGATCCATCAGGCTCCATGTCTTTGGCCTCTGCAAGGACGTGGAGTTTCAGGTTTTGGGTTGAGGATTTATGCAGTGTGTAGGAAACACAGCGTGCCTCGTCAAGCTGGTGCGAAACCCTCGGGGTCCAGGACCCGAATAATAGGGCATTAGTGCCCAAATACTATAATGTTATATAATGGTATTTGGACCCTAAAACCCTACTATTTGGGTGCTTGGACCCTTAGGGAAGTGATGCAGAAGCCCGTCCTGAGGAAAGGCCCTTAAACCCTAAACTCTTACCCCTAAACCCTTAATCAAAAGCGCGAAGCCTGCACTGCGGACCCCAGGCCGGCAGGTGTTGCGTTTACAGCATGATCTGAGGTCCAGTCTAAACTCCTCAAAGGGAGTTACACCGGGGATTGACTATATAGGATTATATAGAGGTGTATTATAGGGGTTATGTAGGGGATTATGTAGAGTTTAGGGTCTAAACTCCTTAAGGAGGGGGTTGGATAGGGGAGCATATAAGGTTTCTATTATAGGGCCTTTTAAAGGGTATACTAGGAGTTTAGACAACAGCTCATGTGGCTTGGGGCTTAATTCTCCATGCAAAGTTCCGCACGCGGGAACTTGAAAACCTCCTCATGCTCATCCTCCTCCTCTGACAGCCTCAAGCCCCGAACTGAAACGTTTGAAAACTGCCAGAGGAATACAGCGTGTGGTCCCATTCTTATTTCCAGCCTACACTCCCAATCCTGAAGCTTGCCCCCTGCTAAAAACCCATCCCAAGACCCTTTGCCAACCCCCACAATACCCAGGCAAGGACTCACAAACATGAGCCCAGAACCACACAAAAGGCGACGCCTCGTCAACTTTGGGAGAACCCGGGTTGCCTTGTGTGTGTGTGTGCGTGTTGTGGGATGACTATTTCAGCTCATAGTCCCCCTGAAGTAGATGGAATATGTGGGTATATGGGATTCTTATTATAATGTACGCAAAGCCATATTCTATCTACTTCAGGGGATTATATCTTACTGTCATGTCAGAGGAGTGAGGGAGGGAATATTGGTACTATTCGGGGTTTAGCGCCGAGATTGTACAAGGTCTACTCCCCCAACCCCATGAGCACCACGTCGTACGTAGTTGTGACAGCTCTTGGGAGATTAGGAACTGATATGCCCTAAACCCTAGGCCCTACACCCTGGAAGGATTATGTAGGGACAACCATATGGGGGGATCCCTTCTTTCGTTCTCTACTAAACACCAGATGGATATGACGCTGAAGCCTGAGTGGGTTTCAAAAAACGGGGGATTGTAGTTGTTCAGGGTTGAAGGATCCCCGTATACACTCACCAAAACAGGATAAACAATTAACCTCGCATCGAAGTCATGCAAGGGCTGCGGAAAAAATAGTTTACAAAGGTTGCTAATACAAGCTTGTTTGTAGATTCTGGCCTTTTGTGGGTGCTGAAGTTCATGGGTTCGAGATGGTGCTAGGATGACATGTCCTCAGAGTCCTGCTGTTCTGGATTGAGCCAATTGAAAGCAAGGTTGCGCATCCAGAACTTACCCTTCCCTCAACCAGCGTGAAAGTTGACAAAGGGCGCGTTGTAGAGGACTTTGGGCTCTAAGGGCTTCGTTCAGGTTTCAAACTCGGCTAACTCGAAAACGCTAAACCCTACCTGAACCTCCCAAACACCCATACTAATAGCCTCTATACCCATTCTTCTACTACAGCGGCCTATAATTATGTAAGAAATATGGGGCCAACAGACAGGGTTTAGGGGTTTAGGGTTTAGGGCTTAGGGTTTAGGGGTTTGGGGCTAGAGAGGGTGAGGGAGAAGTATGGCAACAGCCCAATCACAAGACTGCAATCACCTCCTGCGAAGTGGACCTACACATAAACCCCACGTGAGCTATAGTCTAAACTTCTAGTACCCCTAAAATAGTCCCCTATGTAATCGCCTGTATAACCCCCTTTAAGGAGTTTAGACTGTAGCTCACACGTAATGGGGTAATGTTTGAACACGCTGTACTTGACTAAGAGGCTTTGTCGCCAGCCAAACTGACTCTCGAGACGTATGCCCTACATCCTAAACCCTCATTGAGGGCCACAAAACAAAGTTCAAATGAATACTGGGTATCATTCTCTTCTAACACAATGGAACCTACGTAGACGTTTCTTCAAGTGTCTGTCCTATCCGGGGTCCTTTGGGGATCTACCTGCCGTTAACAGGGATTATAAGATTGAGGCCCTCAAAACGGAGTGGGTTATAAAGGACGGATCTACATAAAAACTTTAAACCCTCAACAAAAAAGTTGGGGCTCGCACTTCCCCTTAGCGGCACACTTCCTTGCAGACGCTTGTCACAGTAAAATGCCACTTGGGGCTGCGAAGGGGCTCTAACTTTCCCAAAGTCGGTGGTACTTTTGGGGGGCCTCTACATTAAATATCATAATATTTTGGGGTCTATATTGAGGTCACCTAAACCCTAAACCCTTAAACCACGTTGCAGGGAAACGACCATTTAGGGATTAAGGCAGCGGGTTGGAGCTTCAGGGTTCCGGGGGGATGGTTTAGGGTTCAGGGTAAGGGTTTAGGATTTAGGGTTAGGGTTTAGGGTTTAGGGTTTAGGGCTTAGCTGAGCCATGTAAGTCCAGAACTTAGTGAGCCATAATCTAAATTCCTCAAAGGGGGTTTATGTGGGGGATACTAGGAGTTTAGATTATAGCTCATATGAAGCGATCCCGTTCTAAGACATAGCCCCATACCAGGGCCTCACAATCCCAAGGCTCTACATCATCAACCTTTAGCATACCTTTCTGAACTCCCCAAAGAAAATGACCTAAACTCATACTGTGGGCGGATGAAACCTTGCACCAACCCTGCCTTTTGCTTTAGGAATTTCAGTGACTTGGATTTAGGGTTTAGGGTTTAGGGTTTAGGGTTGATGGTGCGAGACTCATTCTACCGAGGAAGCTGAAGCCCTTGTATGACCCCTCCAGGCTGTATTGGCGGGACTTTAGAACTTCAAGTAAGGGGTCCCCCTAATCTTCAGGTAATCCACATTAGCGTCCCCAAATCCCCAGGGCCCTCGCCACCCTTTTTGAGAAACTGGCATACAGCTGGAGGGGTAAATCCACTGCTACTTGAAACTCCGAGTGGCACTTCAACTTACTGGTGGTCCCGATACAATCCCTATTCCCTTATTCCCTACTACTACTGACCTCCAGTAAGTCAAGAGCCGACGCCAAAACCCGACCCTAGACCCTAAACCCTAGACCCCAAGCCCTAAGCCCTAAGCACTAAACCCTACACCCTAAATCCTAAACCCTACACCCTAGACCCTAATCTCTGGACCCCAAACCCTAAACCCTAAAGCCTTTAAAGCAACTGAACCTTGCCAATAGCGCTTAGGAGGCTTTAGGGTATGTGGCCTCTACCCGATAGGATTAAAAACGGGTTGTGTGGGGATGGGTTTATGTAGCGGTTAAATAATTGGGATTCTGTAGGGATAGGGTTGTACAGGGGTTGAATTACAAGTGGGGTTTAGGATTCCATGTCTGAGGCATGCGGAACTACTTTGCACAGGCTCTGATAGTATAGCCTGAGCGCTACCTGAGGATAATCACTGCGCTTGAAACCTTCATCACCACAAAGTCACCCCAGAACAAATCCCCACATAACCCCCATAACCCCTATACAGCCCCTATATATGCCTCTATAATCCCAATATATTCCTATTGGAATACCCTTGAACTGGAATCTTGGCAACAGAATCCTACCTCAGCTCATTTTTGAGAAGCCCGAGGGGCAGGTTGCGTTCAAGAAGATGGATGCTGAACCCTTGAGACAAAACCCAGGCTCCTGTTCGCTAGCTGTTCATCATAGAGGTCCCTCAGCCTTAAACCCTAAACCTAATCCCTAACCCCCTAACCCTGAACACTAAACCCTGATCCCTAAACCCCAATCCCTAATCCCTAAACCCCAATGCCAAATCCCCAAACCCTAGATCCTAAACATTTCGCTCCTAGGTTTGGCCTCAAGCCTCACGGGTTGATAAATGTAGGTTTCCTCACGCATCACTCCTCAACTTGAAACCCTTAAACCCCTAAACCCTGTAGACCTTAAAACGCTCAACCACTAACAGTCCCAAAACCTTAAACCCCAAAACCTAGATCCCTAAACCCCTTAACCCTAAACTCCTAAACCCCTAGACCCCAATAATCCTAAACCCTTAACCCCTAAACCCTAAACCCCTAAACCTTCAAACCCTCAACCTCGCGTCG